GAGTTGAAGTCCACGCATCTTAAAGTGGACAAAGTGGAGAAACACTGTACTAGACAGTAAAAAAGAAAGAAGTAAAAAAAGGCAGCTGTGTCAAACTTCTTCCATACCACTGCTAAGAAATCTCCATGGGTATGTCTGTAACCACGTGGAGATGAGGAGGACTCAAGGCGTTTCTTTACTTCTCCCATCTTTCCTCATCCTGCAACAAAAGCAACCTGGCTTATCTTTCGAAGACGAAATGCTCGGCAGCTCTCCCCTTCCATCTCTCCCCTCCTAGGTTCCTGGTGGCCCATCTCTCCGTGCAGAACTGCTTTGAGATATACTCCTTGGCTCAAGCACATCACAGCCGACCCCTCCTACATGCTGTCCTCTGGCTCCTGATCAGGAATTTTGACCAGAGCTTCGAAGAGGACGATTTCCTCCAACTGGACCCTGGTGACCTCACAGCCGTGATCTCTTCCAACGACCTCACCGTCGCTTCGGAGCTCAAGGTCTACCAGGTGGTGCGGCGTTGGGTGCAGGGCCAGCCCACCAAGCGCAGCCCCTTCCTCGGAGAGCTCCTGCGCCACGTCCGTTTCCCCCTCTTAGGCCCAGAGGAGCAAGACATGCTCCAGGCAGACCTGGAGCAGTGGGGAGATCTGGACCTTGAGTGGAAGGTCATGGACGGCCAAGACCGGTTGCGTCAAACCCGTGGGCTGCGCCACGGCATGTACAAGCCACACATTCTGTTCATTGACACCCAGATGTGTGAGTATCAAGAGCTGGAGACCGAAGAGGCCCACATGAGCTGCTATGAGCCGCAGACTGAACTGTGGGAGAAACTCCCTGGCTTGCAGTCGTTGACTCACGCTTGCTGCACCTCAGACAGAGACAGAATCTACGTCTCAGGAGGCGTCTACAAGAATTCTTACTCCGCCACCATTTTTGAGTTCAACGCCTTCACCAACCAGTGGCTGCAGCTCACGGCCATGCCTGTGCCCCGGGCTGCGCATGGCTTCGTGTGCCACCGCCAGAAGCTCTACGCCATGGGAGGATGGTGCAGATTCCAGAGCTTCTTAAATCTGGCCGAGAGCCTTGATCTCGCGACGGGGAAGTGGACTGCAATGGCCAAGCTACCGTTTGCCCTAAGCCACCCCGCTTCCAGTGTGTTGCGGGAGAAGCTATATCTCCTTGGGGGTGCCACCGGGGTGTCAAACCACTGGCTGTTTCACAAGGGAGTCCTGATCTATGAGATTGGTTCTAACACATGGACTCAAGTGCCCCTGGCCACCGGCTTTTTCGCAGCAGGAGCTGTGGCTGCAGATAACGGGATCTACGTCATTGGGGGATACGCAGAGAAAAAGACCCGGGACTGGGTGGACGGGGCCCTCGTGCCCGAGAACCGCCACAGCACTCGCAAATGCGTCTTCATCAACGAAGCTGGCAGAGTGAGTTACAGCGTGAGCATTCCCAAACTCCCACGAGGGTTGGCCAACGCAGGGGTGGTTTGCTGTGGGAAGCGGATCTACGTGTTGGGTGGGGAAGACTTAGCCCAGCGTTACAAAACGATTTACCACTGGGAGCCTGGCGAGTCCCGCTGGCACCGGAGCAGTTCTGAAATCCCCGTGCCCCGGGAGGGTATCAGCAGGTTTGGGTGTGTGACCTTATTGAGACCCAAACCTCATGTTCTCCAGCTTTTCCAAGTGGCCTCTCTGGTTCTCGTGGCAGCTGTCACCAAATCATAGTCTCCCCAGTGGCTGTTCTTCTGCACGAGTGAAAATCAGGCAGGAATTATAAATAAATTCTACTGAAATTATGTACAATCACCGCTGACTTCTACATGCCTTTGCCTGCTAACCTACAAAGGACAAGTCCCAGCTTGTCCAAGCAAGTTACTGAGGACCTCAGCTATGAAGCTCTTCCATACAAGAGACAGCAGCCTTTAGAACAGCGTTTCTCAACCTCGGCAACTTGAAGAGGTGTGGAGTTGAAGTCCACACCTCTTCAAGTTGCCATGGTTGAAAAAACCACTTCAGATCATTTCATAAATGTCCCAAATCTCTTCAAAGCACCAAATCCCAGAAGATTTGCATCATCTCTTCTGTAAGATGTTGGTGTTCTCACCTGACATTGTAGGCCTCAAGTCATCACACTAGAATTTCATGGGATTTGGTGACCTAAGATTCTGACCATTGTTTTTCATTTATTTCTTTTAAATAAATTCGAGGGGCAATTTAAGGTGCAGTCTAGAATGCCACAGGTAGGTTTGAGTTGCTGATTCTGGTTGAATTACAGGCTAAAATAATTTATCTCCTTGACAGGGTTCGTCCCCAAACCCTCTGATGGTTTTTGTAAGTTCAGCAAATCAAACCCTTGTGTAATTTGTAAACCTGAAGATGGACCTACCCTAGTTAAACACTGCATCAGTTCAGTTCAGTAATTACACAACTGAGCTTCTTATGTGTCACAGATCTTCAGTAGATCTTGTTGGCTTCTTGGTTTCCACCAAACAGGTCCCCAAACTTTAGCACCTACTTAGAACAACCTCAGTTTCCAAGTATCTCATGGACTTGTTCCAGAACACTTTGGAACAGTCTGAATGACACAATAACATCCACCCCAAAGACCCCTCTCCCCCAATTCTATATTATTATTATTATTATTATTATTATTCAATAATAGTTACTCTGAGAATGAGAAAGAACCTCCAGACTGTGCAAATGATCTTTGTTAAATGAAATACAAAGATTCTGACCATGACTAAAGCTTGCAGAAGCAATTATCCTCCATCATTCATCCTGCATAATCTGACGTTTTGAAAGGACACCAAGTTTCTGATATATTGTCAGTTGAGATTTTAGTAATTGAGAATTATGAAATGGTTGTAGTGGCTTTTGGGAATACGAAAAAAGCTTTTAAAATGGTATATGGAACTAGTTATGAAAATACGGATTTCCATCACATTGGGGGGATTAAATGTTATCATTCATGTCCTTTCTCTCACATAATTACTAATCGGTTATTCCTCTGCCTCCAATTAAGAAGCATTGTCAAAGATGTCCCTTATTTACTCCTATATTTAATTTGCTGTTGGAACATTCGACTTCTCTTATTAGATCATTCTATGAAGTCAAGGTACATAGATAGCAGAAATTGAACACAAGCTGTTATTATATGCAGATGAAATGTTGGCCTATTTAAGGGTTATCAGAGTTCTTAGATTTCCAAAATTGTACAGCAATGTTGTTAATATTCAGGCTGTACAATACATTGGAATAAATCTATTATTTTGCCAATAGGCAAGTTTCTAAGGAAAGATGTAAAAATGGGTTTTGTCTTTTGTTCAGATTCTATTAAATGTTTGAGGATAATTATTCCTAGGAAAATTATCTTGTTCCTATCTTCCTTCTTGATAGATCTGAACATTTCAAACTGTATAACTCAAATTGATGATGACATCAGTGGATGGTTGAAAATACCTATGAGATTATGGGGAAGAATAAATGTTGTGAAAATAAGTATTACCTCGGGATCCATATATGTTCTAAGAAGGATGTCGATGTTGTTATTATTGGTAATTATTACTATTTTACGGAATGGTCAAAGTTTTCATATAAAAAAGGGAGGTTAATCTTCCTGATTTTCAGTTAGACCATCAGGCACTTTACTGTACTGGAACAGGAACAATATTGATTATGTATTACTTAAAGGCCCAAGAGCCTTTAATTTGATTTGTCATCCTTGAAAACCTGGTTCCAGATATGAAAATAATCATATATATTTGGACAAACAAGGTAAGAAATTAAAATCTGATCCTCTTCTCATCATAAACTGGAATGTTTTTAAAAGGTGTTTTTTAAAGTACAAGTTGAAAGTGGCATAGTTACCCTTAATCAGCTAATTATACTATTAAAACATTTTAAACATTACAAAAGTAATATAATTTGCCCCAAACATTGTTCTTTGGACCAGAAGAACCAGATACCTGGGAAACCCCCATTGGTTCTAAATATATTAGAGAAAGGTTTTAGTGGCTAAATCAACCATTCAGATTTTTCAACAATTTTAAAATATGACTTCAATAAAATAAATTAATTAAAATATTAAATATAAAAATATGAATGTTATCCAAATAGAGAATTACAACATCAATGGTTTCAGGTTTTGAAAAGCATTAACATATTTCTAATGATCTTATAACAAGGTTTATTAATTAAAAATTCTTTTTCGGGTCTGAAGGACATCTCAACGAACGTTTGAAGATGTTGGTGGGCAGCCTTATTACATTGGAGATGTAGTAAATTGGAACGTACTTTAATAAATTTGCTTGGGTCATGCCCCTTGTAGTTTCCTATTGATTAAACATTCTTATTAAAGGGAACCAGATTCTTGGAAGGAAGTTAAAATTCAAAGGTGCATGTTGTTATGTTAGCTTCCAAAGATGGGGAATTGGAATTGATGAAGAACTATGGATTTCCGGTGCTTGAGCTGTTGTCAGAAAGATCATCTTGTGTGCCTAGAAAGACATTTGTGCCCCCGATACCAAGGATGGCTTGATGACACCTGACAAGACTCATCCTTTGAATTGGATTTTCGTCAGCATAAGGAGATCGGGCAATTCGTCTCCCTGCTCACTGCTTAAAAACGGAGTTGCAGCATATACAGATGCAAATATTGTTGAATTTGTATCGCTGAAGTCAATTTAGCTTTTTCCTTTGTATGCATTTAATATCTTGTTTTATTTGAATTCACAGGTTTTGGGGTTTTCGTAGTTGTACTAAAATATTTAAATAAATAAATACATTCCCCAAGAAAAGCCAAACTGTCATAAGCTAGGTAAGCCGGGTTTATGTATTAACACTAACGCCATGATTTGTTTTAACCATATTTTGATTATTAGGTTATTATCAGCCTCTTGGGGTCAACCAGATAAGAATCATGACCAGACGAGGTAATTCTACTTTATTGTAAAGCTAACTGACAATCTCGCAAGCCTGAAAATACAGTTCTCCCACCGTCTCCTTTATAGCCCGAGAAACTAGGGAGGGCACCTTCTGAGCCTCTTGCCCCACCCATTATCCAGCTGCGGGCCAGGCTCCCTCTTATCTGACCTTTCCCTAGGTGTCAGCCTTACCTGGTAGACCAAAGAGGAAACATGACCAGATGAGCTAATTCTACTTTATTGTAAAACTACACTAACAGAATCTTGCAAGTCTGAAAGTCCAATTCTCCCCCCGCATCTCCCTTACAGCCCGAGAAACTAGGGAGGGTCCCTTCTGAGCCTCTTGCCCCACCCGCTATCTAGCTACGGGCTAAGCTGTCTCTTATCTGACCAGTCCCTTGGCAGCATCTCTTGGCCCTGTCTCCCAAGGTCTTTCCCACATACCATTACAGCTATCATGACTTAGTTTACACATAAGCCATGAATAATGGCTTGGGCTCATATAAATTGCTATGCCAAAACCAAGCAAATCACATTGAGACTCAGCACAATGTCTACATCCAAACTATAACAGTGTTTCTGTTGGAATATTACTGGATTGCGATGCACAGGGAGTTGATAATGGGCAGGCTGGAGAAGGCCCCATTCAATAGAATTGCAGTTTGCAAACAAGAGCTATCCAGCAGAGTGGGAATTTTGTTAAACACTTGCCCAGAAGGGGAAAAGACCAACCTCCTGTGGTAGGACAATCTGGCAGTGTTCCCACTACACCCTTGCTGACTCAATTAACCCACTTTCCAAGTTCAATGTTGAATCGCAAACTAAGAAATTGGCTGGGTCACATCTAAATAATAGAATATTAAGAATCTAATTCCATTATATAAATATCATTGTATTGAAATAATATATTGCTTTAAAACTGAGAAGATGGAGCAATAGATGGTCTAAATGGCTAGATTTAATATGTTAAAGGATGCAGCTGGTTCTGTATTTATGGATATATCTATAGTTTCTTCAAACGTCACTCAATTCATTACTATTTTGCATATTTTCGGATTATATTAGCACTTTGACATTTTCGGTTGTACATCCTATCTTCTGGTTGTTATATTTCACCAATAAAAGATTTAAATGTCAAAAAAAAAAAGGAAAAAGAAATTGGCTGAGTTCAGGTAATGCACTAAGCTATAAAAAAAAACCTCATGAAACTAATTGTCTGCTTGTTGTGTGAAGACAACCATGTTTCTGGACCTTTCTGCACCTCCATGTCTATAAAGAACACAGCATGCCCTCTGCAAACCTCTTTGAGCAGGTCACTCTTCTCCAGATGTTTTGGAACTACAACTCCCAGAATTCTGTGACCACAGGAGAGTCTGGGAGAACCACCGTCTCACCTTTCGATGTAGTCAAAATCCTTTTCCTGCCATCTCGGCTGTCTGCATCAGGGCATCCCAGAGCTGCAAAATTCTACCACTCCTCCAAACTGCAGGAAGGTGCTTTTTTGCGCAACTCAGGTTGGTTACGTGTCACAGCCGGCATTTCTATGAAGAATCTTCCTCTCTCATGTCCAAAGGACCAAAAGGGTACAGCTGACTAATGGAAGGACACTTAAAGAAAAACTTCACCCCATTATCTGGAGGACTTTTTGTTGAAGGACCTCCTTGAATTCTGTCATCAATTACCAAAACTATCCTGAGAAATGTATTGGCCATTCTTGAGTTTGTTCTCTTGGCCTGTTTTCAGCTTTGAAAATGAAAAAGAGCAAAAGTTTCTGGCTCCCACCTATTGTATCTGTACGGATGGAAACTATGAGACAGACTGCAATCTAAATTTCCAGGAAATATTTAGCAATACTGTGAAGAGTTTCCTAAGCAGTTTTACATGTGGTAATAAAGACTGAGTTGATTTCAGCTGTTTTACAGTGGTAAAGAGCATCATACAATTAAAATACAGGTAGTCCTTGACTTATTCTTTTAATAACTGAACTTACAACGGCCCTGAAAAAAGTGACTTACAACCGGTCCTCACACTTACAACTGTCGCAGATCCAATTTCGAGCGCTTGGGAACCAGCATGTATTTACGATTGCAGTGTCCCAGGATCACGTGATCGCCATTTGCGATCTTCCCATGGGGCTTCCAACAAGGGAGGAAGCTGGATTTGCTTAATAACTGTGATTTCCTTCACAACCGTGGCAAAAAAGGTCATAAAATTGGACGTGACTCATTTAACAACTGCATCATTTAGTGATGGACATTCCGGTCCCAATTGTAGTCGTAAGTCAAGGACTACCTATAAGGACCTGGGCCAGGACTTTAAAGCTATTTTCTCTTAAAGGTCTGCTCTCCTTTCTGCTGAACTAAGAGAAACATATAGTAATGAAACAAGGGCTGTATTCCTTTGCCAATACGATATCTGCTGCTTATTTTACAGAAAGGTTGTGGATTCCTACACAGGCCGGGGGATTAGACTAGGCCCTTTTCCAAGGCCCTTTTCAACTCTTTTGTATTGCGATTACCACATTTCTCCTAGCTAAGACTCTGGCAGCTGTGAGGAATATTATAGGCAATTTCTGGTAGCAGATCAGCTCCCCGGGGAACAGAAGAGGCCAAATGTGGGATCACAGCATGGTTAACCCATAAAGCGACTGGATATGCACAAGCTTGGTGTGCTGTTGCTAGTTTCTTTTTGGGGACGATCCGAGATTACGATAAATTATTCTCACCCCTTCTCCTCATGAATTTTAATTTCAAGCATTTCCTGGCGGTAGGGCCGCAATAAGTTATTTGACTTGATTAATTTCAAGCACTTATACTACACTACCTCTTCCCTTATTTTTCCTAACTAATTTTGCCAGTTTTCCCTACAGGGAAAATTCTAGCCCTTTGATCACTGGGGTTACTCACTTTCTGCCAAGTTTTCCAGCTAAGTCCTGTGCATGTTTCCTCAAACACACATTCTCCTAAATCCAAGAGGATTTCATCTTAAGTGTAGCCATCAGAAGGAAACCTTGTGATTTCTCCATTTTCTGCAGTTTTATTAAAAAGCTCATCATGAACACTGAAGAGAGTGGGGCCAAGGCAGATCAAAGGAAACAGAAGCAAATGGGACGCGTTTCAATGTGGTGATTAATTCTGGAAAATTTCTAGGTAGGCCAAAAGGAGCACAATTTATTTATTTTATCTTTAAAAAATTGCCACCACCCACGCCTCTGGGCGGTTTACAAAACAGTTGAAATCAATTAAAATGACAAAATTATAATCTACTATTAATAAATAGAAAATAAATAGATCCAGGAATAATTGGCAGTCACTCAGGGAGCATCATCAAGGCGCCAGCCACCCCCAGGATCGGGCAAGATTGTTGTCACCCCAAACAAGTTGGCACAGCCAGGCCTTCATCCTTTCTGGAGAGCTGGGAGGGTAGGGGCCTGCCCCACCTCTGGGGGGAGCATATTCCAAAGGGCGGGGGCTACGGTGGAGAAGGCTCTCCTCCTGGGCCCGCCAGCCAACATTCTCTCGCTGACGGGCTCTGCAACACGCCCTCTCTGCCTGACCGGGTGGGACGGCCGATGTGAAGTGATGGGGGTGAGACAGGGCCCAACGCAGATTAAAAGGGAGGGGGGACCACAAAGGGCTGCTGTGAGTCAGGCCGCACACCAATTTAACGAACTGTTATTTTTATGAAAGGAACCAAACTAAAAAGCTGGCTTCTGTTCCTTCCCTCACATATGCCTGTTACTAGCATCACGTATTGCCAAGTATTTATTTCCAGGTGAGTCTGGTGCGCCTGCACCAAAACAGGCCATTTGAGGACTGCGCAAAACACCTCCCCTTCTTTCCAGCAATAAGCTGACATACATGGGCAACCTTGGGCTCCCTTTCTGGGGCCCAATGACCGCACAGTCCTTCCCGGATGATACCCCCCCCACACACACTTTGGCCTCTGCCAAACCCCCCCAAAACTCCCCATCCTTGCCCCTGGTTGACAGCGGCTTGCCCCAAAGACTAGCTGAGCGTTTTTCAAAAGGTGCTTTAAAGGGTTCCAAGCAACGTGGAAGCAGGAAAATAAAGAGAGAGGCAGGCGTCAGGGGCCGAGAACGCTCTGGGCCCCTCGGACCCAATCAGATGCGGACACGGGGTAGGCAAGCGAGTACTCTTTCTGTTCTAGACCTCTGAGCGGTACAGGCGGCGCTAGGGGCCCGGGGCGTCGACGGCCGTGAGGGCCACGGCGGTCTTGCGGAAGAGCTCCAGGGTGGGCGTGCTGG